GGACTCCCCCATTAGAGGAAAAACTTATCTTGAAGAGATTTGTGGGTATCAGTTTTGTCCAATAGAGTGAAATCCATTAGATTTACAGGAGACTTAAAGAACATTAAAGGTATTACATTGGCAATAACACTGCTAACATGGATACACAGGGTACAAAATGAAAGTGGCCTTTGGGCTCCCTAAATTCTACTGGAAGGAAGCAAACCAACAAAACTACACAGCTGCAAACATGTGCTACTTTTAATATAAAAGGATGACTCAGAGAATGGAACCAAAGAATCCAAAGGGTGAAGTCAAAAATCATGGAAAGTTGTTCCCATGCAAGAGTAGACCTGAGCTATATCAAGGAAATTCATCAGATACCAACCTGGATTTAAGTATGCTTTGGCTGAGTAACTCTTCAGGTACTCCTATCTTTCCTCTTTTTTGAATAAGAATGTTTTTCCCAGTCATCTGAAGCCTGCCCCATCGTTGTTTGGGGATTATAAATGAGTTATAAATATGCAGAGGAACTACACTTGAGGAGTTGTACTTCTATACAGGAGACTTATCTGTACCCAAACCCAATTAAGGTGACAAGATTGTGGATTGACAATATAACGGGTTAAGACTTTTTGGGTCTTTGGGAAGTGAAAGTAATTGCATTAAGAGATACACAAATCTTTGGAGATCAAAGGGCAGACTGTGGTATCTAGCCGCAAAGGTGGCTCCAAAGATGTACCTCTTGTTATTTGTGCCTTTGTGTAATTTCTTCCCACACTGGATAGAGCTGATCTTGGTAACCAATAAGCTGTGTTGGAAATGATGGTATGTAATTTCAGGGTTTAGGTCATACAGGACATAGCATCTTCCATCTTGTCCTCTCTTGCATCCAGGGCTTTGGGAGAATTCAACTGTTATGTCACTAGGACAATCAACAGTATTGTAGGAGGTGGTGAAGCCCCCTGCCTACAGCACGTGTGTGAACCATGTTGGAAGCATATCCTATATTTATAGGTTAGCCTTCAGGAAACTATGGCCCAGTCAACAGCTTTACTAAAATCTCTTTAGAGCTCTAAGCCAGAGTGTTATGGTTTGGACGTGAAATGTCCCACAAAAGCTCACATACATGTAAGACAATGCAAGAAGGTTCAGAAGAGAAATGATTGCGTTGTGAGAGTCTTATCCCAATCAGTGGATTAATCCCCTGATAGGACTTAATTGAGTAGTAGCTGAAGTGTAGGGTCTGGCTGGAGGAGGTGGGAATTGGGGGCATGGATTTCAGGTATATATTTGTATCTGGCAAGTGGAGACCTCTCTCTCTCTGCTTTCTGATCACCATATGAACTGCTTCCCTCTGCCACACTCTTCCTCCATGATGTTCAGCCTCACCTCGAGCCTGGAGGAAAGGATCCAGCCTTCTATGAACTAAAACCTCTGAAATTGTGAGCCCTCAAAGAAACTGTTCCTCCTCTATAGTTGTTCTGGCCAGTTCCTTTAGTCACAGTGGTGAAAAAGCTGACTAAAACACAGAGATACCCAGTTGAACTACTCCCAGATTTCTGTACCACAGAAACTGTGTGAGATAATGTTTTGTTTTAAACTGCTACATTCTGAGAAAATTTTCTATGCAAGGGGTCTATCTCTGGATGTTTCCAAAGCTTCCAAATCTAGAGGGAATTGAATGGTTCTGATTTCCATGTAGAGGGGTACAGAAGATCCACCTCATTGACACTGGCACACTATGAAACCAGAACTTTATGAAAACCCTTTGTAGTAATTTCATCAGCTTCTGCCTCACAAACCCTGTCTTCACAGGGCTCAAACAAAGATTGTAAAGTGTCAGATACTGAACTGTACAGTATTACATTTTAACTCTGTCAGGATATGATTAAGAAGAAATAATAATAATGATAACAACAAGCCTCTCCCTCCTCTCACCAAAGATCCTAAATACACAAATGTCCTTTGAAGACATTGAAAAAATAGTTTCAGCCAAGTGAGGTGGCACATACTCATATTTCCAGAGTCCCAGCCTTTGGGAGGCTGAAGTAAGAGGAATTCTTGAGCCCAGGAGTTCAAGGCTAGCCTAACAAAATAATGAGATCCTGTCTCAAAAACCAAAAACCAAAAACCAAAACAAACAAACAAAAAAACAACATTTTTTTTCAATGGAAAAAGATTCCTAAATGCAATAATATGTTTTTAAAGGCTAAATTGCTTCCTGTTTTGCCAGGGAAGAGGTGGAAATAACCAAGTAAGAAACACTATTCACTAAATATACTAATGTTGGTGTTTGAGTTGGCATTGATTGCATTTTGTTTTCAGAATGGTGCATCAATCCTTGTTTCCAATGCAGACACAGAAATAATTTTCAGAGAAATAAACTGAAGGAAAAAAAGAACTATATGAAATTGGAACAAAACAAACCTAATGCTCTTCAGAATTCTTTAGAATTGTTCTGAGGTTTAAAACAAAGTTTCTAAAAAATAAACATCTAACAAAATTGCTCAAAGATTAACCATACATTATACATGCAGACACTCCTTGTACCCTAGTATTTTTATGAAGATCATCTGGAAATTCTAGCTTAAAATTATCTAAGGAAATCAATGGAAAACTGACACCATTCCAACCCCTTTCATTGTTATCAACCATATTCCCTCCCCTATGTAAAAAGGCCCTTTTCCTCTCCTCTCTCAATACAAAAAAAAAAAAAAAAAAAAAAAGCTTTTCTGTGAATGAAAAGACATCAACATGGTCTAAATACAAGCAGCCAGACAAAAATACCCTATATATTTAAAATACATTTCAAAACCTCCTCTAAAGGGCTATTTCCAGCACTAACTATAATTTGTGCAGAAGTAATATTTAAAGCTTAAAAACATTCAATAGTGCAGGCATCTTTACAATAACCCATGAGATAGGTGTTACTATTGTTCGACTTTACAAAGTTCATTTATTTTTTAAAGATGGAAAACAAAATGATGAATTAACTTGAGTATGACCACAATGCTGATTCAGTAATGGTCCTAGGATTTGGGAGACCTGGGCAATAAGTTTTCTAACACCAGTCTTTTAAAGAGTCATGCAAAGATTTGGCACTTCAATCCTTTCTCTTGGAACCTAATGTGAATCTAGAGGGGCTCCTTCCATAAAGGAGTGAAGGAGTCAGACTGGAACTCTCACTGGATACATACTCTGGATATCTCAGTCTAACTCAAGTTAGGCTCTCGGGAAAAGGGTCTGGGCCCCTAGGAGGCAGGGATGCAAATAGACTTTGCAAACAGACAAAGCTTAGGATGGGAAAAGTTTGCTTGCACAGCCTGACTCTGAGATTCCCTGGGCCCAGGAGAGAGAACAAACAGCCCTTCTGGGGCCGGTGGAAATCCTGAGAGGTCAGGTTCAGTATGGTAAACCACACGGTCCTGGCACCTCGTAGAACACTTGGGACTGTGCCTAGAAGCTGAAAGACCGAAGTCCACCCGGACCCCAGATTAGAGGAGGTTTATGGGGAAGACTGACACCTCCAGGGAGGGAGCGGGGGAGGCGGGGCCCAACGTCCGCCCCCGCAGCGAGCGGGAGACTGCATCCATCCTCGTTTTGCCTGGGATGCTGCGATCCCGAGTGGCGGAGCTGAGCCCCGCGGGAAAAGCAGAAAAGGGCCGTTGCCACTTTAAGTGACTCAGGAAGTGAAAGGAGGACGCCTGACGGTGAGAGGAAAGTGGAACCGGGGCGGTGCGGGCCGGCGGCGGCCGCGATCTCCCCGGGCAGCGGAGGTCGAGCA